GTCTTTTTATCTCTTACTAAAGAGAAAAGCGAAAATGCTGTTCTAGAAGTATGGTTACCTTCTTTTTTTTATTTATATATGGCATTACGTAATTAGGTACCAGTTATTTACAAAAAAAAAACTGTGAAAAGTGATTTTTTTATGCAATAATGAAAGTTGATAACAACGTAGAGCAGAGACAACCGTTTATCCCGAGTATTGTGATCACTGGGTTCTGTTGCAGCTGATTTTTACCTACTTACTGTACTTTTTCTCAACTTCCTCGTTGTGTTCTCTCCCTACTAAAAATGGACCTCTGGATGGATCTGAATAATTCCTTCATGTAGTCGATTTTCTGGCCGAATATAGTTATTTCCAGATGCCCAGACAGAAGATGGAGAAGATTTACAGGCCAAACTGCAAGAACTGAATCGATTGATTGATAACGTGGGTTTTAATATCATTAGACCTTTTTTATAATTTGATATTACACATTTTTAAATGTTTGTCATAATTAATTAGTTAAAACTAATTTTTTATTCGTATTGATCCTAATTGTGCTAATCGATTTAGGATCAAGGGGTGCTGGGCGGCCATCAGCGTGTGCCTTTTACACATTGTGAGTGTTACAATGTTCAATTCAATTCCATTGTTCTGGTTGTTGTTTATGTTTATTGATGACGATTACTTTATATTGGTTTAATTTTCTTCACAGACTGAATAAGATCCTCGTTTTTGGCCATTTATGTGATTTTTGCTCCCAATATCTGATGTTATTCGCCTCGTCCGCTATAAAATCACCCATTTACATCTTTATTGTCTACGAGCCCTACGAATTTTGAGAGAAAATTGCCGGAACCATTTCAGCTGAGTTGGGTCAGACAGAATGATCGCTTGTAGTTTTTCTTTTCGATTGTTTCGGGTCGTTTTTGTTTGAAAGGAGGACGACCGTTTAACTGACTGATTTAACTTTTTCGGGTGCGCCACGTACAAGACTTTTATTCGGTCCTTTATTGGATTTGGAAAGCATATTTTTGTTAGTGCCATCATCTCCCTGAGCCCTATTCGTTGGAATTACTCGCCTAGGAATAATGCTGAATGGAAGGAAAGATGAACAACTCGTTGTTTATACTTTTCCTGGCGATTTACACAACAAATATTAGAAAGGTTGCTGCGTAAAGGCAAGATTTAGTTCCATAGATCATGTATGCAGGGCAGAAACGCCTCTGAATAATATTCGCCACATCCTATTTATCACCTGTATCACCTGTCGTCCCGTTGATGATCGATTTCCTCGAGCGGGCGAAAGTAACATTCCCGTTCGTCCCTTTTGCAAGCCACAGTAGTCCAGTGGATGTCGTCCTCCCTCCCTAGACAGGGGACCCTAGACATAGCATTTCTTTCGTTCGGAACTTTCGTGAAGGAAGTCTGGTCATCGTGCTGAGGGACGTCCTGGTGTTCGTTTGATGTCTCGAGGGATTCAGTCAGCAGCCGTCTATACTCTAGTTATCTTATTTATAGGAGCATTTATTTAGTTGTTTTTTGTCTGATTACGAAATCCTTCTTCCACGAACAGCTGTGAACGAATTCCAATCCCTTCAACGCTTTTATCTATACGTGATTGCGAGCCCGCAACTACNCACATTTTCTTTAGATAAAACTTTAATTATTCCAATTAGAAAAGTGGTCATAATTATTCTGATATGATACCCTTCATCACTGTTCGTGAGTACATTCCATTTGCTGAAGTCTTATTATTATGATTAAGAATGTGTTATTAAGTATGTGCGGGTTTGAGTACCATTTGAGGACAAAATTTTGCCCACAATTCGCCAATTTTATGAGACCAATTAATGTTACTTTAGCTGGCATATCCGAGGACAGTGACTATACGTCCGACGTTTCATTTCCCATACATCAACCGAATAGTTCGGCCCATCAATGGGATTCGCACCTTCACCCCCATAGGTATCGACATCATCAAAAAGACACAGTAAGTTTCATTTGTTGGTTTGATAGTGATGTTTTCCCGTTTTCGTTCCTTCTGTTATGCAGGACTGCGTGTTTGTGGCTTGAGTAATGTTCACTGTGCGTAGATAGTATGAAAAACAGGTGTATTTCAAAAAATACTGGCCGAATGTTGTTTTATAGCCGCTTGAAAAAACCATTTTTTTTATATCCGATAAAAGAAAAAACTGATGGAAAGGGAAAGGTGGAAGAGAATTCTGCAGAAAAGCGTTGTTCTCAGAGAACAGGATGCTACTTATAGCGAGCACTCTGCTGTTCAGTGGGTCAGGAGGTGTGGTCGCCTTCGAGTGGGCGTGGTTTGCTTTCGTTTTGGGCAGGACCTGTTTGAATAACCGGGAGAACCTGAAACAAGCCTGCTCTCTTTCAATCTGCATGCTGTCTCTGCGGAACGGCGTAGCATCACTTCGCTTAGAGCTTTCGTTGAAATCATAGATGAATTTCAGAATTATTACAAACCAGGGATACATTTTTAACGTTTTTTCTTGTATGAGAGCAATTTTTCAATGTACACGGATGTCGTGCGATCGAATTATTGGGATACGCCAACGCATAGCTGTTCTGAAGGCTGCTTTTGACATTTTATAGTTCCTACTTTTANTTAGATAAAACTTTAATTATTCCAATTAGAAAAGTGGTCATAATTATTCTGATATGATACCCTTCATCACTGTTCGTGAGTACATTCCATTTGCTGAAGTCTTATTATTATGATTAAGAATGTGTTATTAAGTATGTACGGGTTCGAGTAATGTCCAAGACCGAAGTTTTGCCCACAACTCGCCAATTTTGTGAGTCTAATGATATTACTTTAGCTGGCATATCCGAGGACAGTGACTATACGTCCGACGTTT